AGTTGGCCTATTGGTTTTCAGAGTCACATGTTTTGCTTTGGGAGTTTGTCTCTCTGGTGCAGGTCCCCAATATGGGAAGCGCCTTGCTCCTCAGAAAAAAGGGAGCTATGTTTTGGGTTGTTGTTTTTTTTCTGTTTGGCGGTATTTGTGGAGATTTTCAGATCCCTCCCCATTGTGGGTTGCTGTGCCAGGGGTGGTATTTTGGGCGAAAATGTGCCTCTGCCTTTCCTACCCATCTCAGTGTGGCCCTTTTATCCTCTGTTGTGTGTGAACTGACTAGATCACCAACAGACTCTGAAAGAAGTGATGTGATTGGTAACTGAGGATACACATCTGTTCTTTCCACAGTGACTTGTGGACTAAAATAATAGTAGCAAACTTTTTATTTTATGCATTTAATGTACCACGATGGCTGAAATTTGAATGTCTGGTTGAGAGACAGGCATTATTGAACTAAACGGTGAGAATTGGAATCCAGGCATATCACTTATACAAATAGGCAGAAAAAAACTGCATAATTAACTGCAAAATAAGGCATACCATGGTGCTAGGAGTGGTATAACTCCAGGCCATGAAAGCAGAAACCTGGCATTTTTTAAAGTGACAATTATGAATAGCATGACTATTAGGCAATAATTGCAATAACAAAAAACTCTTTTAACCATTTGTTTCCGCTCTATTACTTCCCTAATTCCACAGTTTTAGGGTGTGTCACATTAAGCAGTCAGTTCTCAAGACTCTTTGCCTTGATTGAGCAGTAAGTTTCACAGTTTGTGTTCGGAAAGAAAATGTGCAGTAGAGAGCCTGAGAAATGTTTCCACCCAGGAGGTTTCACAACAGTCTTCAGGCACTGCGGAGTGCCTCGGTGGGATTTTTAATGTTTTTTTCCTCCCAATGCAACAGTCCATGTTTCTGTAGAAAGCGCACGCACAGGATGTACAGGTGGAAGACCACAGAACAGCAATTTGTGAAAGAGGAACACTTACCTCTGTGCATTGAAAGAGCACCTTGTAAAAGGTTTTAGATGCTTTAGCTGTTAGTTGTTTTTAACAGCACAG